TACTGAAGATGTTCCTCAGGGGCAAGTTTGTAAGTACTACGACCGTGTGCGCTTGGAAGTACGGCCTAAGTCTTCGGCCGCGGTAACTAAAGCGAGGGCCAGCTTCTCCATTTGGGGATATCTGGTCTCGGCCTCGGTCATGGCCTTACTGGTGTAATAAATGGGGCTCTGGCTCGCACCCTCCTGCTTGACCAGTGCCGAGATGACAGCGCTAGCAGATACCGCCAGGTACAAATGGAGTTTTTCCCCTGGTAATGGCTTTGCGAGTGGAGGTGCCGAGCAGAGATAGTCTTTTAACTGCCCTAGCGCTTGCTCACACTCTTCCGTCCATTCGAACGGTCCCTTCTCCCTAAGAACTTTGAAGAATGGAAGGCACTTGTCCGTTGATCTCGACACGAACCTATTCAAGGCTGCAATCCTGCCATTGAGGCACTGCAGCTGTTTTAGAGTCTTGGGTGCCTCCATCTCGAGCACGGCCTTTATCTTCTCTGGGTTAGCTTCAATTCCCCGGTTATTTACCATAAAACCAAGGAACTTTCCCGAGGAGACCCCAAAGGCGCACTTGGTCGGATTGAGCTTCATTTGATACTTGCGCAGCACTCCAAAGGCTTCGGTCAGATCGAAAAGATGCGACTTTGACTGCTTGCTCTTGACAAGCATGTCGTCCACATACACTTCCATATTCCGACCGATTTGCTTGGCAAACATTTTGTTCACCATCCTTTGGTAGGTCGCACCCGCATTCTTTAGGCCAAAAGGCATCACCTTGTAGCAGTACAGACCTTGTAGCAGTACAGACCTTGGCGCGCGCTGCCGGTGAGCGCGATCTGGAAGGCGCGGCATTTGATCGCATCTGTCGCCGCTTGAAAGTCCATGAGGCCTTCGAAGACCTCAACATAGTCTTTAGGGTCCTTAGACCCATCATAGGGCTTCATGGTAGGAGTCTTGAACTTCGGAGGGATTGGAGCCTCCAGGATGTCCGGGGTGAATGGCGATTCTCCCAAGTCGCCATTGTCGAACGAACATTCTTTCTTCTCGCACCTGGCCTTAAGCGCCTCAACCTGCTCACCGAACTTGTGCTTCATCAGGTCGAACTCTTCCCTAGTGATCATAGCTTCTGGTGCTAGAGGTTTGTATTTTGATTGAGCCTTTAGGTTCGAGTTGGAGAATTTTCGGGAGTAGGAAAGAGAGTCTTCCGGCTCCCGAGATGCTCTCTTCTTCTTTTCAGTGAGATGCTTTCTCATATCGTTATCCCGCAAGCTGTAATCCATTCCTCCATCGTTGGGAATGGGCTCGCGATCGCCAGGTTGGATAGACGGAGCTCCCTTTTCACCGGGTGCGCCCGGGGCTATAGAGGGAGACGCAGTTCGGTTAGCACGTGTTGCCTCGGCGTACATTTTTTCCATTGTGCGCAATCAATGACGCATATCATCCAACTCGCGCTGGAGAGTAGACAGAGCTTCAGGGTCTGCTTCCTGGTTGGCCCTTTGGGAGGTCTTTCTCGACGTCCCTCCTCGGCCTCTGTTTGCTTTTGAGGGTTTCGGGTGAGCAGGTGGTAGCTCTTGGTTCGCATGACGGGCAGATCTACGCGACAGATCTCCCTCTTGCCCTGCTCGGACCTGGTCCTCGACTATCCTTGCACCGAGGTCTCGCTGAGGGTCGTTATCAGCGTTCACACCCTTCTGTTCTGTCGTATTGGCAGAGTTTGCTGGATGCACCATCCTTGCCTATATATTTTTTTTAGATCGGGATGACTTAAGATGTCTCTCCCCACAGACGGCGCCAAATGTTTATGCAGGAATTTGCACAACGGTTCTGCACGAATCGAGTTCGAACCCGGTCTTCGGTTCCGACCTGAACAACAGAGTGGACCTGCACAAGAGGGTAAGCACTTCGACGCTCAAGTCAGTATAGATCGGACTCCTTATTTAGTTCGAGGTGAGATTCGATACCTGAGCGTGAAATGAAGTCCTCTATTTATAGGTAATGGATCCGACAGCACACACGACCGACGGTTACATGTCTTTTTTCATGTCGGACCTGTCGGGTTCCGAGCAGGTCGGACCCCAGTCAGGTCGAACTTTGGTGCCCATACTTCATCTTTTAAGGGGCAAACTCGATCACTCGGCAGGGCCGAGGTGGACCTAAGCAATCCTTTTTATCTAATTTCTTCAAACACGAATAAAGGTCCCTCCACGTGTCTCGGGTATCTTTACCCCCAAACATGGGGAAAGAAGTTGTTCATGAAGGGCAGGTGGCGAGTAGAAACTAGTTCGACAATCATGTTTGGAAAGGATCCTTGGATCTCAAGGGCGGGTAATTATTTGTCGGTTTATGTGAGTGATGATGTTAAAAGCAACCCAGTGGCGTACCTTTTGAGTCAGCCAGGTCGATGGAATGAGGAACTCATTTGGGACCACTTTTGTGAGGAAGAAGTCGAAAAGATATTGCAAATTCCACTTCCTCGAAACGGCAGGGAAGACAAAATTATGTGGAATATGGACAAAAGAGGTTTATTTTCTATCAAGAGTGCCTACCAATTATGTCGTAAGCTAGACAAGGGAAACTTATGCTCTACCTCCTCAGCGTAACTGACTCACAGAGAAAGTGGTGGAAATCATTTTGGAATACATTGATCCAACCCAAGGTGAAGATTTGTTGTTGGAAAACCTACCAGAAAATCTTTCACACTAAGACAAATCTCGTCTCTAAGGGCATTACTATTGACTTAATTTGTGTTTTTTGCAGGCACTGTGAAGAATCAATAACGCATATGATTTGTTAGTGCAAGGTAATGAAAGGGTTATGAAGATGTTTGAATTATGATGCAAATTTCTTCTCTTGCAACAGGACAGCATGGGCCACTAAGGAACTTTTGGAGTGGACTGTTACAAGGTCAAACAGCAAGGAGAGGCACACGATTTTGATTACAGCATGGCAAATTTGGTAAGTTAGGAACTAGGCAATTTTCAAAGGAGAAATTTCAAGCACTACAGACATCCAACACAAAATAAATATTTTTCTCAATTAATTTTCATCACTACAGGAAACTATTCAGAGAACCACACCAGCAAACGCTGATACCAACACAGGAAATCATCAAGATCCAACGGGGGAATCCATGGCAAAAGCACACCGAATGTGTAGAAAGGAAATTTCACCAATTGTCCGATGGAATTCTCCCCGACCAGGATTGTGGAAGCTCAATACTACAGCCTGGAATGCGGATAGGGGAACTGGTGGGTTGGGTTGGATACTCATAAATGATAAAGGAGAAATTTTGAAGGAGAACTTATTAGAGGAGACAGAGGGATTACTTACTTCGAAATGCTTGCGGTTTGCAAGGGTTTTGATGCAATTGAGACTAAAAATCAAAATCCCATATACTTGGAGACTAATTCTCTTGAGGTGATTGGGCATCTACACAGGCGAACTCAAAATCTGACTGAAATCTGATGGCAACTCCGAGACGCGAAGAGACGAAAGGAAGAGATCCAGCTGGTTTTGAAGGAGCATGTTCGACGAGATGCAAATGGTGTGGCCCATGGTGCACACTTTGACAGTTGAGTGGTTTCTTGAATTTCCCACATTACATGAATTTTATTTTTTGGCGACGCATTGAAATTTTGTCGACTTGGTTACTTTTAGCGACGAAATGTAACTGTCAGTCGCCAAAAGTACCCTATGGCGAACTGGTTGTTAGAGCTCGTATGGAATGAATTGCTTTAGCATGTTTTCTATTTTGTTACTTAAAAGAAAAAACTTCACATTTATTATGCATGTAATTCTGCCAGAGCGAACATATCTCAGCAGTAATAAACATGTATCTCCAATCAAGAGATTGTAAGTTCGATCTCCTACTCCACATGTTGTAGTAAAAAGAATAGTGTAATTTTAACTTAAAACATTTTTTAACCTATTGTTCACGTCCAAGTGTTTTTCTTAATAACTTTTTAAAAATATTAATTTCGTACTATTATGGGTAAAATTAAACCATATAAATCAAGACCAGAAATGGTCGACCCTCCCATATACCGATCTGACTGGCCTAGGGCCATTGCTTACTGTAAGCCAACTAGGTTGAGGTCTGGATAAAAGTGACTCGAAGATGCATCTGAGTTGGGAGATTCCCTAGGTAATGGATTGTTTAAGCTATCAAATTCGAATCCCCTTGATCTAAGGAATTCTATTGTTAGGAAAACAAAAGATAGAAATTGAATAAGATGAATAGCAATTGGTCTAGGCTGAAGCTAGAACTATTGATGCTTGAGATTTTGTAATATTTTTTTCAAAAATGAAAAACTGCTTCATCCATACAGCATAAAACAAGGGTTGCAAATGACTAGGTCTAAAATAAAAGCCCAAAAGAGAACTTAGAAAAAATAAAGACAAGCAAATAAAGAAAGAAGCCCAAACATTAAGACACAGTCTGGAAAATAAGAAACAGCATAACAAAATAACTCAAAACCTACATCTTCCGTAAGATAGTGTTTTAGTTTGTCTTCTACCAAAAGAAAAAAGGAGTATCCTAGCATTCTGACTCATCCAAAACGTCATTTTTGGCGGCAGATCTAATCCTCCAACACGTGCATGTCCTCCTCCGACGTGGGATCCTCTTCGTCTGTGGCGACTCTCGTGTACATGGCGTACAATGTGGTATAGTAATACTGGCTTCGTCAATCGATGCCGAGCTTTCTTTCTCTTCTTCAATTGTCACGACAGAATCCGACAGGTGATAGACGAAAGATCGACAACATTAAAGGTAGGTGAAGTGTGTATTTCTGGTGGTAGCTCGAGAACATAAGCATTGTTGCCTTTTTTTTTTTTGTAATTTTATGTAGGGCCAATTTTGTAGGGTTTCTTTCTACTCATCCTTTGTACAGTCTGTTGGCTTGTTGAAGATTATGTTGAACTGTGTCTCAGATTCATTTCATTTCATTTGTCATGCGAATTGTTTTTTACAAGTCTGATATCTTGGTTGTATGAAATCTACTATATGATTTGAAACTTTGGTGTAAACAATCTGAAATGGGATGAATATTGTAGATGTGTTAGGCATATCATTATATGAAAATTCTCCTTTTAAGTAAAAATAGGTCCAGCTATTTAGGATTGTCCTCAACCAAACAACATAGCATATTTCCAAAACTCTCCAAAACTCTCCAGCTATTTAGGATTGTCCTCAACCTCCTGTCGGTCAGTTTGTGGATGATAAGGACCTAGTGAACTTTAAGGTTGTGTTAAATCAACTTCATAAAACTCTCCAAATTTAGGACTAACAAACTTTACGCCACTATCCGATGTTACAAATTTAGGAATCCCATATAGCCGCACAATCTCATGCAAAAAAAAAAAAAATTGCAATAGTGCTAGCATCAAATATATCTTCTTGCACGGCAAAACATGTGTCAGTTTTTAGAATCTATCAAGTACCACAAAAATAGAATCCACACCTCTCTGTGTTCTAGGCAACCCAAAGAATAAAATCCTCCCAAATATCATTAAGAATGGGTAAAGGGGTGTAAAGTCCTATATTTTGTGAGCCTCCCTGGCTCATAGAAAAGTCCCACATGTTTGCACAAATTTTCTAACATCCCTTATAAGACGTGGCAAACAAAATCGAGCTTTCACAAGCTGAATAGTTTTGTCTCTTCCTGTATGAGCTGATAATTCACCCGAGAATGCATTTCTTTGATAAGTTGTGTTCTCGAGAAAGTGTTTAAGATACATAGCAAAGTTCCTTTAAATAAAAATTCTTGGTGAATAAAAAAATCTCCACATCTTTTTATTCTTTCTTTTTTACATAAATCCTATATTTTCTCAAAATCACAATCATTGGCATATAAATCTTTCAGGCAATCAAACTCAATAACCTCAGTTTGCAAAGTAACAATGAGACGAGTATTCCTACTTAATGCGTTAGCTAGAACATTTTGCTTATCGGGTTTATGTCGAAAAACAAACTAAAACTTCTGTAAATATTACCTAATGAGCAAACATTTTTTCAAATGCTTTGCTTTTGAGAGTCAAAGAGCTTAAGAGCATGGTGATCACTATGAAGAATGAACTCTCATTCAATTAAATAGTGCTCCCAATGTTGAAAAGTACGAATAATAACATAATAGGTAAACCATATTTGCCTAGCTTCATTTAGCTTTTCATTAAAGAAAAAATAAAACAACCCCAATACGTGTCAAACATGCATAGTTTCAATCTAAAAAACTTTATCAGAATTTGGTAAAACAATTAAGGGAGCTGAATCTATTTTCAATTTAATTAAATGAAAACTATCTTCTTCCTCGTTTTCCCATTTAAATTTTCCTTTCTTCAAACAATTTGTCAAGGGAGCCACAATACTACTAAAATTGTGGATTAACCTTCTATGAAAAGTAGCTAAACCATGCAA